CAAAGTGTTTTGTAGCAGTGTAACTTACATAGCTGGGTGGGAAAGCAAATGAACTGTGCAAAATAGAAAGCACCTTTCTACTGCTTCACTTCTCTCCAGACTAGTTGTATCCTTTTACATCTACTTAACTATATTGGGTAAATTTAATGCCAGTATGAGAAAGTGTTTGGAAAAGAATGAAATATTTAATTTTCATGTCTAACACTGGCCTTAACTTCAAGACTTAAAGGGCCTGATCCCTGCTTTCTCTGTGACCTAGTTTATTAGAGTCTGCTACTTGTCAAGTTGTCAATAGTTATGATTAGGTACAGACAGACAGGTGCTGTTACTGGTGTGGCTTTGGTTGTGTTTGAAGTGTGCTGCTGTAATCTGTGTCTGCGGTGAGAGACGCTAATTGGAATCCAGAGCACTTCAAGATGAGTGTGATGCTCTTGTACAACACTGACAATTGAAATTGCGTCATGTCTGGACTTGCTTGAAGGGCTCTATGTAGTTAGAATGCTATCAGTAAAGCAAACCCCAAACAACAACAACAAACCCTACCAGGCTTGTAAACAGGAATTTAATTTTATAGATTCTGTTTCTGCTTTGGCCTGTAATTACATTTTGGCTTTCCCATACTCCTCTCCTGAGCAAAGCCCTGTGATGCAGAAGTGGGCCATTCCTAGATGTCTTGTGTGCTTTGTAGTGGCAAACTGATATGCCATGATCTTCAGGTTGGTAGTTCTGGTATTATTCTTGCTAATTCATCAAACTGTAGTTGTATTTGTCTTCACTGCCTGTAGTCATGAGATGTGACCTGAATTATCTGTGATCTGTGTTTTACAGGAACAATCCAAACCTAGGTTTTTCTAAATCTGGAAAACACATAGGAAAATTGAGAAGTTCCCTGCATTCAACATAGATGGTGAACTTGCATGTGTTAACTGTTTGTGCACATACACACACACACAAGTTCGTACAGTTACCGTGCATGCTAGCTAGATAGGCATAAATGTGCATAATAACATTTTCTTTAGTTGTAAGAAGGCAGGATGACTGTACTGAAAGTGCTTGCAGTTCCTTGTGATGAAAATTGATGGAAAAGTCTGAGACAAAACCAGTCATGTCGTTATAACCCAAATTAGAAATTTTGGCTTAGCTTTCATGCAGCTTTGCATACATGAACAAGGATACTGAATAATGTGAAGTTTTCTAAATAATATAACCCCTCCTATGTACTGTGAAATAATTTGCCAATATTTTTTAAATTTCACTATCATTATGAAAAGGGTAAGGCTTTTATTTGGATAAGGCTTTACTTCAAGCACTGATGTATGAGAGCAAATAATGACAAGCAAATACAATTCTACCTGCAGAGCAATCTGAATTTGGGTCACTGGGCCAATAGATGAAGAACTGGCTTTGATACCTTGATGACAAGAGACCTAGATGTAATCTGGTAGTTGCAAAATCAGCACATCATTTTTCTTGGATTCACTTTGGTGTGTGCTAAAAAAAGGATACTTGCTAAAGGAGATAAGGACCATGAGGCTGCACAATGTCCTTAGTACTAACAGTAATTTGAAGTGATGGGAAAAGTTGAATATATGCTGATAAGCACAAGTTCTAGTTCATTTAGATTATTTAAGTGACTGTGTGATTCATCTGATCTAGGGAACTCTTATTTTAGATGTGAATCATGAAGGATGATGTGTTATGAGTTAAAAGTTTGGTGCTCATGAGCCTTCACTGGAGCATAGAGAATAAATCACTTCCATTAGCTGAGAAATACTCTGTATAGTATTTACTTGTAAGTTTGTTGTATCTTGATTTGTTTGTGTCTCTTATTCTATGTACTACATAAGATGATAAACAACTTTAGTCACTTATATGACATATACTATAGTCAACAATCTACTTAGTCACAGTTCTGCACCTGTAATGGGTCTGATTAGACAGGTATATTAGTAATACTGGGTTTTAATCAAACTCCTGGCTTTTGCTTTTCTAGTAGCCTTTAGTTGTCAAAAATATTATTAAAAAAAAATTGTGGCCCTTTCTTCTAGTATTAGGCTATTAGAAGCATTCATTTAGCCAAATGACTATGACTAATATAAGTAATGCATTATCCACTTCCTGTTGGTATGAGCACTCTGTATTAGCTTAATTACTTTGTCAACTTTAATATCAAAATATCATATAAATTCTTTAATGTACATTTTAAAATTACAGCTAAAAAGAAACTATCAAACCCTGGGACAGATTGCTGGAAGAGGTTGTAAAATCTCCATCCTTGGAGATTTTCAAAACTGAATTGAGGAACCTGGTAACTCCAAAGTCAGATCCAGCCTTAAATTTGGTCCTACTTTGAGGGGCAGGGAGGGTAGTGGAGCACATGACCATCTTCAGAGGTCCTTTCCAAGAGATTTTTATGTTTCTAATATATCGATTAGAAGAAGGCTTCTGCTTCTTTGGTTCCATCAATCTATTCCTTGTTAAATACATCACTGTGCATTTTCTTTGGGGATTTTTTTCTTTTGTTTGTTTCATTGCACCAGTGTGTACTGAGCGGTGGAAACTCATTTCTTGATGACTTTTTTCTAAAATAATTCCAATAATAAAATTTATCAGTAAAAATGTTTTGATTTTTTTATTTTGATTTTTTGCAAGCCAGCTCGAAAGTGTTTTTTATAAATCCGAGGTTAAAAATTATAAGGCCATGTGTATTTGAGTGTTCTGCACTCATGTATACAGACCAGATGGAATTACTTTGTACCCTCTCCCCAGTTAGGCATTTGTGCAGGCATTTAGGCATTAGTGTGGGTTTTTTTTTCTTCCTTTTGTTTTCAAACTGCATAATGAATTAATCACCCCTATTAACAACTTACCTACTGAAATTAGATGGTTGGGCAAGTCATGACACTCCCATTGTGTACTAATGCAGTGGAGTGAATGGATATATACAAACTGTGCATCTCGTTATCAAAAATGAAGTTTTTAGGTTCTGCTTTTATTGGAGGTACTGAGTCGCCTTTATCCCATATCTCAACAGTAGGAGGGAAAAAAAAGCCCATAAAGGTACAGTAAATCTAAAGAGAGTCTAGTAGTGCAACTTAGTTGTCCATACATGTAAAGCTCCAGTCACATAGGAAACAGTAAAAAGCAAAACACCCTCATGGACTTAAAATGATTATAAAATATTTTCTCCTTTGTTTTACACCTGGACAAAATTATATCCAGAAGTAATCAGTGTATTTAAAATAACATAGAGAAAGTTTTCAGATAAAATTAGCTATTTTGTATTCAGTTTTTCTTTCAGCTGTATGTCATTTATGACACAGAATGTATATTAAGATATGAGACTTCTGAGTTGATACATCTATTTCAAGGTATGTTTTTAAACTAAGCTTTTAGCTATGTAGTAATACCAACATTAAAATGTTAACTACTGAAATAAGAGCACAGACTAGAGATTTCAGAGGCTTGTTGGAATTTCATCTATCTATTGCAGAAAGTTCAGAAAACCTCCCTTGTAACCTGATACTGACATTCATTGAATACATCTTTCGGCTGGGTACACTGATACTAAGTATATGCTATACCATAGGGTGGTTCTTCAAACTGCTAGCAATTAGATTAAAAGTAAAATTGGACATGAATTTTAAAAAATCAACAAATTTAAAAAGCCTACAAACTTTCATAGACATCATCATGATTCAGCATCTGAATGAACTTTACTTATGCAAAAACTTGTAGTAGCCTTATGAAAGGTACTTGTGTTATTTTTCCATTGCTAAATTATATCAGAAGAATATATGAGAAATTGTATTATACTGTGTACTTCTGTGCTCAGTTCTTAAATGAAATGAAACAAGGGGTAAGGAATCGCAGAAACACAAAACCAAATGGCGGAGGAATGAGAAGGGGAGGATGACAAGCTACCACAGCTGAATACAGGGTATGTATAAAACTGTCTTAGTAAATGCTGAGTTCCCAAAGTGTGTTTAAACAAGTTGTAAATGCCATTAGTGCTCTGTTAGTATGAATAAAAGCTTGCCATCACCTAGGTACTTGTAATACAGCCCTGCCACTGTCATTACATGCATTTGGTGTGTAGATTGTCTACAATATACAAGTTTACTACCAAAATTCACCTGGCCTATTAGTGTGTCTATACCATGAGTTCTTGGACATTGTCAGGCTACATCTTTCTCTTTTTTGCTCAGTTTTCGTATTGATCCACTACTTGGTTTCAAGTCATGATTTAAAAAAATAAAAATATCTAATGGAATAATGAGGAAATAGGAACTCCGGATTAATTCTGATCCTGACTCTATCTGTGTTTTTTTAATTTACATTTGCCACATCTAATGTTCTAACTCCAATAGCTATCATTAAAATCCAGGTGCCTAATGAAAAAGATCTAAGAACCTTTCCCCTCAAAAAAAATCTGGTTTTGTTTCTAAGCATACTGCAGTCTTGCAAATCAGGTAGGAAAGCCATTGCTTCAAGTTTTGATGCTTCTACCTGGCTTTGTTGTGAATTTGAAAATTCTGTGTTTGTCTTGGCAAATAATTACTTGAGCCAATCACGAAAGCAGATTTTTAGGTGGATTGTGGATTAAACTTGGAAGCCTATTTTTAAAAATGAATAAACTTTTGATTACTTTGAGATAAAGAATTTGATACCTTTTTAGTGCTAAAGGTGGCCAGAAGTTAGTTTCTTTGATTTCCCCACCCCCTGTAACTCTACTATTCATTTCTAATTTAAAGGAAGGCTTCAAGAAAGTATTTCACCTTTAATCTCACTTTTGCATATCCCCAAATCTGACGGCGGGGTGCTTGACGTTTTATATTATTTCTGCCCCGCTTTGCCTTCTGTAGAGGACATGCAAAAACCTGAAAGATGGCAACAGGATGAATATTTCATGAGGGAAACACCCTAGGACTGGTGTTAGTTGGAAGGGCACGCGAAGAGGGCTGTCCAAAAAAAAAAAAAAAAAAAAAAAAGTCGAGGTGGGGGTGGGACCCGGGGAGACGCTGCTATTAAATGGCCTAGCCCAGGCCGCTCAGGCGGCCTTTTCCTGGTGTTCAGGTCTCTCTGGTGGGAGAAAGTTCATCTCGATCGCAGCCAGGCCTGGAAGTCCCCGCCGTGCCCTCCTGGGGAAGCGTGGGCTGCTCGGGGTCGCGCTGGGAGGGCGCATCCCGTAGCAGAGCTGTTTGCCTTGTAGTGCTCAGGGTCCCACCCGCCATGCCAGTGATACCCAAGTGAAAAATTTCCCCACAGTGCATCTGCCCGGTGTTGCCTTACGGCCAGCAAGCTGTTTCTGTGGATACCAAGACGTAAGCTGCTCAGGCCGTGCTTGGAATGCTCCCTGTGCAACTATCATGGTACTAAAAAAAAAGTTTATGTTATATAAAGGAGTAGATGAAGTGTTGCCGTTGTAGCTCCTCTCTTTGCATGAAATGCTGTCTTGAACAGCATTGAGGAACATGCATGAATAACCACGATGTTCCAAGAAACAAGCAAGACTGATTGCTTAGGTGTAGTTGCATGGTGCTTCTGTTAAGTGAGTGAGCCTACGTTGCTGTATCTCACTAACATTACTGGGGGTATCAGGCTGCACAGGGGTAAGGTCTTCCTGAGCTGTGTGGCAATTCCAGGTCAGCAGTCTACACCAGTGTAGTAATACTAATGTGTTTAAGCCGTTTGCTAAATACAGGGAGGTTCTGTACAGGCTTTGTTGTGATATTGCTGCCTATATAAACAGTGCCAGGCTGACAGATTTCTGAATGAAATCTGTTTTCTAGAAAGCCAGCAGCACTGTAAGATTTCCAGTACTGATTTCCAGCCACTGAGCCTTAGCTTTGCCCTACTAAAACTCCTGGAGAGAGAGATTTCTGCTCTTGCCTGTCTTTGCTAAGGTGCCTATCACTGACAACAAGAACAGGATTGAGACCACATGCTTGTTTGTATTTTTTGAGGGGAAGGGGAAATTCAGATTTTTTGCTTTGTGAAGAGTTTTTCAGCAGTATTGCTCCACTTTAGCGGAGTTCAGGCTGTAGTGTGGAGGCCAAAGTCTTTATATATATCTTGTTCCCAGTTTAAGCTACCTCATCCCCCAAGAATTATGTCAACATAATAATAAATTTGAATAATCTCACATCTTGAATTATTAAAGTAGATAGTAAAGGAACTTCCTTATTTTACTTGCAGGCGAACCTCATCAGAGGTGTTTTAATGACTTGACCAAGTTTAAATAAGCACTAAGCTTAATCAGCCCCTTCCTTGGGGGCACATATCAGGCTTGATTTTTCCTGCACAGGTTTATAAACATAACTCCATTGTAATCCTGATTTACATTGGTGTGGATGTGGGAAGTGAATAAAATACTATGAATTTTATTTGTAAAGTGTCATGAAACATGACCTTGGGAAGGTTAGGCAACAGGCTGTAGTGAAGCAGATCGTCTGATTCCAAGACTGCTTCTCCAACCATTAGGAAAGCTGCACCTGTCATGCTCTATCTAGACAGTTTGTTCTGACCTGCCTGAAATATGTGGTTATTGATTTGTCAGTCTTTGAAAAGACTGGAAAAAACTCTCATCAATTATGTCTAGTCCTTCAGCCCAAAATATATCTACTTATACCACTGGAGGGTGGGCCTTATAAAGTGTGCAGGTTTTAGTGCCAATATTTTCTAGTGTATACTTCATAAATACATGCATACACATGCACAGATTTTCTCCCATTGGGGAGTCAAGTATCTGCTTCCTCATATGGGTCACACTGATGTGATGGGGAAGGATGTAACTCTGCATGTTCTCAGGATAACAGTAACAGTTGTAACTTCTGTTAATAAGCCACCAAAGCTTCACTTTTCTTTCCCTGCTTATATTGATTTCCTATCAGCAAGAGCAAGATCTATAAGATAAGAATTGGTTAGGCCTGTCTTTTGCCAGAGCCGGTTATTTTGCATTTCTAATCTTCAGGTCATGCAGAGCCTGTGTTTTTCACAATAGCTCTTGAGTTTTCTCTCTTTCTGAAAAAGAGGAAGAGAAACAAAGGCTGAGGATGGCTCTCTTAAAGTTGTTGTGTGTACTGATGTCAAGATCCATGTGGGAAACTAGGAATCTGTGTTACCCCTTTCTGCCTTCACACTTCTCAGCCATTCCTATTGCTGGTTTCACCACGTTAACGCTTGCAAATACACCCATGTAATGGTCTGTGCTTCCAGAGGCTCTGCCAGTGACTAACCCCACCACCCCTCCTTCGTTTGCTTGCTCTTTGCTGAGGGCTACCGGATACGTGGTCTCTGAAACCAGCAGGTCAAAAGAATAAGGCAGGGGTTTCCATTAGGTTGAGAGACATATAAAGCACAAGGCTGGAGTCTTGTGAAGGCAGATCAGGGAACAGGGCTGACAGTTTTTCTCAGAGAGGAGAGCATATATGGCACGAGGTGGGCAATAGAGTTGGTGGGAGCACATGGCAAACTCTGCAAAGAGAGGAAATGGAACCTGTGTATAACTCTCTCTCTCTCTCAAGTGAAGGGCTCTTCATTTAGGGGGTATGCTCATTGTCAGCGACCAGTCATGATCAGCATTATCCAAAGTATGTTTGCATTAAGAGATCAAGAGTTGGGTAAAAATCTGAGAGATGTCTTGTCAGGCGTTGTTCTGGAAACTATTTAGAATAAAAAAATTGCTTGTCACAACTCCTAATCTAAAAATGAATTTTGAAAAACCATCTGTGGTAGTGTAATACTAAAGTCACATGCATGTCTATAGCTGCTAAAGTTTGTTCATACTTCATCTCAACAGCAACTGTTTTGTGTTTTGGGGTTTTTTGTTTGTTTGTTTGTTTTATTTTAAAGCTGGTAGTATTTGGAAAGTTTCCCAGTAGTGAAATCTATACTCCAGGGTCACAGTATGCTTACCTGTGTTGTACCACATCTTTTCTTTTGCTTTAGTTAAGTTTGCTTCTGTACAGTACATCACTAGTATGTTACAAATTTATTGATACTTAACCAAATAAAATCAACTTATGATTTTTTTCCTAATAAATAACACCTCTTTTTGAATATTAAATTATTTAATTTTGTGACTCCAGTATATTTCTGTATCCTCACAATCTTCTAATTTAGTCACCATTAGAATAATTAGGGCAGGCGCTCTTTTTAGACTAATTAGAAATCTATGTTTGAGCACAGATTCTTGTTGGTGTGGGAGGAGTACCCGGTGATAGCCAGTGGCTAAGTATTACGGTGAGTATGGGTTAACCTGCTATCCTTAGTTTCTGGGAAAAGATGGCTTGCTAAGATGTTTTTCATAGTATCACGCACTTAAAGGGTATGCTTACAGTCTCATCTTCTCCTGAAAACTTGTGAAGGATTGTACCAGCAGTGGTCACACTTCCAGTTTTGCCTCTCGCCAGCTTTGAGAAGGCTGTTTGCTCGAGGCTGAAGGAAACATTTTTGAGTGTAGGAGACCAGATTTTCTGGGGAATTTTCTTGCAATGGAAATGGTCACCTACTGGAACAAGAAAAGTTCTTGAAGAGTCAGGGAACCTAATTTTTATTGCTATTCTTAGTTTCTGCTTTTTGGCAGCTGTTATGTATTTGTAGTTTCCAGTTTCTCATACAATAACCCCAGTTAAAAAAAGTAGTGTTATACGAATGTAGGACACTTAAGTAACACTAAATGTGCAGATTGATATCAGTAACTCAAGTTGTAACTGGCTGTAAGTGACAGGGAACTTCCATCTCACCCAGACTACACATCCATACAACTGATACATTTTGAAGAGTAGAAATCAAGACAAACTGTTGCCAAGGTGAAAGTGCAGTGTTGGGTCAATTTGTATCATATCCAGTTGTATTGATACAAATAACAAACTGAAATTGTAACAAAGTGTGTAGGAGCTTTGACTTTGTTAGACAAGATAAAAACCTGTAAAATTTCCAGTTAAGAAGTAATGTGTTCTCTTCTTGTCCCCCCCTTTCTGGGCCTTCTGTCCTGGACACTAGGTTGCAGGGCTTTTTCCTTTCCACTGTTCTAGACTGTGGAAAACGTTTTCTCTGCTTTTCGTTCCAGTCTTGTGTATCTGATAGTACTTAAACCTGCCTGCTTTGAACTGTGTTCCCTCTGTGGTGGCAAGGTCCCTCGCATGGACATTGCTAGTGGATATTTTGCTTAAGAGTGTACACCCAAGAGACATTTCTTTTGTACCTGTATAAGGCCTGGGAATCTTAATGAATGACATCTTGTTTGTTGGAGTCCAGTGTTAGTGGTCCGAGGTCACCACTGTCTACATATAATCTGTCCACTTCCTTAATTTTTGGACTCTTTGTTTTCACTATTGTGAAGCCATGCTTGTGCATCAATTTTGCAACAGTTCATGACCATGCCCCCAAACATAGCATCTCTGAACTGTTAATTTTCTCCAGTTGAAATCTTAGATTTTGTGCTTTTCTTCAGTCAGAGAACTAGGTATGCCCAGTCCAGTGCTCAGTAATTGTTTTGTGTTTATTCATTGACTGAGGGAGGAGGCTCTTTGAACTCACTGCAGAACTCCTCATCTGACAGGGTACTCTATGCCTAGGAGCAGAGGTCCCACTCTGTCCCCCAGTGAGCAGGGAGCTAGTGTTGTGAGCTGTATGTTGATCTTATGTCCAAGCATTACAAAACGTGTCTATGGGATAGCTGAGAGAAGCGGGAACTCCAGGAGTGATTTGTGAACAGGAGATGGCACTTTGACCCCAGCTGTGTCTGGGAGCTGCAGCTTCTTGGAAGCTGTATGAGTCTTCAAGGTGGGCATTCATCATTCTAGCTGTGGAATACTGTTCTTGTTTAAATATGGTAATAGAGAACAAAAAATTCACACAAACCAGAATTTTATCTACTTTCAACAATAGAGCACAACACCTGCCACTTTGTCCACTGAAACCACCTTCTCTGAGAATCCTGGAGCAGTTCATGATAGGGGAGTGATTACAGTATTAGGAGGGCTGGTCGCTGGAGCTGTAACTTTTTACAAAGAAAAAGGCATGTTTCTGCTGCTTCACTAGAAACGATATGAGAAGGCAGTCACAGGCAGTCAAGGAAAAACCAAGATAATTTTCTGAATTCCATTAATAATATGAAATTTCTGGTTAGGGAATGAACTTTCAGTCAGAAAGTAATTTTTTGCTTGCTTTAGAACAAAATAACAATTGGAGGGGTGTTTTACTCAGAATAAGAGTATTTTGTAATTTAAAATCAGTCAAAGCTTATTTGAGATCTTAGGACTATAACTACTAGTTGCTAGCACAAAGTGAAAAAAATACAACTTTTAGAAATATATATGAGAGAAATTTAAAAATATTAATTAAATAAGAAATTGGACTCTTGGAA